CCCAAAAACGTTTTGGAACACGCATAGTAAAACATAAAACCCATGCTACTTCAAGAATGTGTCGATTTTTTGCTCTGCGATGCCATTTTGTTGAGGTATGTAAGCACACGTGGTTTGATGAAGAATGTCGTGAGTCGAGAAGAAGTTGTCAAGGGTTTGATTTACAAACTCACGACCATTGTTAGAATGAATAACTTTGACCCAATCATTTTTGAGAATTCTGGAATAACATGCACTACTTCACCCTTAAATTTTAACTGATATATCTAACACACTCTGGTACAATCATCAATGAAAGAGACAAAATATTTATGACCTGTAATAGATGGAGTAGAGAATGGACCCCAAACATCAGTATGAACACAAGTAAAAGGAACACAACTTTTATTAAGGCTGACTTTGAAAGGTACACGATGATTTTTAGCAAAAATACATTGTTCACACCGCATACTAGAGCTAGAAACATTTTCAAACAGCTTCGGGAACAAGTGTTCTAAGTAAGTAAATGAAGGATGGCCTAATCGACAATGCCACAAAATGATCCTATCTCTTGGAGAGGATTTACTAACAACTTGAAGACCATGGCTATCCTTAGTTGGCACACGCCTTGTTCCCTCCAAAAAATACAGCCCTCCTCTTTCTCTACCAGTGCCAATCGTCATCTTCGTTCGATTGTCCTGAAATACGCAAGTAGTAGGTGAGAAGATGACAGAGCAATCAAGATGCTTTGTAATTTTACTAATAGATAAGAGGTTAGTGGAAAATGTAGGTGCAAGTAAGACAGATGAGAGAGAGAAAGTAGGTGAAAACGAGACACTTCCTGCCCCAGTAATTTTGACAGGAGTCCCGTTAGCCACTTGAACAGACTGAACAGTCGAAGTTGTCAAGGAATCAAATGTAGTGGGATTACAGGTAAAATGATCGGTAGCTCCAGAATCTATAACCCAAAAATCAGATGTAGTAGAAGTAGATTGCAACCCAAAAGTACCTTCCCCAAGAGGTGAACGAGCGACATGGGAAACAGTAGATGTAGATGTAGGTGTAGGTGCATGAGTGGACGCAACGGATGAATGCGGTGCTTGAGAATATCTTCCACCCTTCCTCTCTGCCCTCTTTGCTAAATACCAATCCGGATAGCCATTTTTCTTGAAACACTTGTCAGCAGTATGTCCTTTAACGTGACAGAATGAGCAAGTGTCATTAGACTGAATAGGAGCTCGAGATCGAGGATTGAACCCTTTTGCCACTAATGCAGACGTCTCAGAATGGCCTTCGGTCCCCATGGTGAGTTGTCTCTGTTCCTCACGGCGAACAATTGAGAACACCTCTTCCAAGCTTGGAAGGGGTGTAGTAGCTAAAATACGACTACGCACTTGATCCAAACCATGATCTAGCCCCGCCAGGAACATATAAATCCTGTCTTCAGCACACCTTTCTTTTAACGCATTAACATCAACTGCACACTTCATAGGGTTGGGTCTACGATAGTCAAGTTCCAAGAAAATAGAGTTCATTTCAGTGTAGTACGTGACAAGAGGCCGCCCCTCTTGCCGCAACTGAAAAGATTTTTTCATTAGTTCATAACCTTGTGACGACTCAGAGACATCAAGATAACTTCTCTTAACCGCATCCCACACATCTTTGGATATGTCAAACTGCACACAGTGAATCATAAGAGCATCTGTCANCATCTGTCATAGAATTGATTAGCCAAGACTTAACGATAGCATCATCTGCCATCCATTCACCATAGCTACTATCATTTTCTTTCGGTGCAGTTAGTTCACCAAAAACATGGGTTCTTTTCTTCCGACCAGTAATGTACATCTCCAATAATTTTGACCACACACGATAGTTAGTGCCATCTAACTTAACGTGAATTAGAGGTGATGTCTCGTGAATTAGCGATGTAGCAACTTTGTTATCAGCCATAATTTCGAGAATAGAATGCTGAAAGAAGATTGAAGACCACGGAAACCACCAAATGCAGACAATTCAAAAAACCAATCTTCAACAACCCAGAAAAAAAAACTTCACAATAGACCCAATTCCACCACACACCAAGTAGAGAAGGTAGATAGGATATCTGACCCGTGAAAAATCAGCATTTAGAACCGGCCATTATCAGTGGAGAAGCCCTATGCTCCGAATGCTAGAAGTCTAGGCTGCAGGGGACGCGGGTAGGGACCGGGCGATGCAGAGAGGAGACGCAGAGAGGAGAAATGGGTGTTGCAGAGCTGAACGAAGCTCCAGTGAAGGGCGACGCAGAGAGGAGGACGTCGCCTAGGGTTGGGCGAACAGCACACAGGGAGAACGACGTCGCCTAGGGTTCGGCGACGCAGAGAAGAGACGTCGCCTAGGGTTCGGCGACGCAGAGAAGAGACGTCGAGCTGTTCGCCGGCGCTGGAGAGGCCGTCGCTCGGAGCAGGGACCACGATCGGTGCCGGGTTCAGGTTTAACACTCCGGCTCTGATACCATGTCGCGTTTAGGAGGATAAAAATATTTCTCATTCATCTTACATGACAAAGTATATACACCAAGAAATGATATTTACATCTTAGTCACTTGAATAATAGCATATGTATTTCAACTATACTAAACACCACCTCCTTATGATTACTATCTGATGAACTAATGCTTAAGACATGACATTTCCTTTTCATGTGAATAATTTTTATAAAGTGATTTGAGGTAATCTTAGTGGAATGAGGTTTTTGCGGGAGAGAAAACAAGTGATGCTACAAAATACATCGCTGATCCCGACATCGAATGTTTTGCCTTAGATTGAATTTTGCTTGAAATTTCAAGCGCACGATATTATTAACAAGTAATAAAGTGTATGGATCAAGTATATTTCCCACGACTACGAGAATTGTGTTGTTGAATATTAAAGTCAATTAATCCTAATTACCGAGTGATCAAATTTGATGATGGATAATGGTAGTTAACTAAATATGTTTTTACTAAATAAGAGCTTATAATCGTGTTGTGACAAATGCTACAAAATTCAAATTGTCAAAGGTATTAGAACTCTGATTTCACCTCTACTTATCCCCTTAATTCATCCAATCTTGTAATTGACAATATTAGTTTGTGTTGATTTTTAAAGTCCGCTAACTATATTTCTCAAGTAGGGCTAGAGCTATTTCTTTAGGTGAATATGGGATTACTTCGTGAGCATTTGGAAGGTTCTTCAGTCTAGCAAAAAACTATTGCAGCCTTGGATTTTCTGTTCTGATTTTGCTCAAGGAGAAGCTAATTTAACTCGAGCGAAATGTTATTGCAGCGATGGTCATTAATAAGCTCCAAAACTGATTTTTCATCTTCTTTTCAGCTCCGGCATTTGAGGACTTGACTATTAACTTCCAAACTTTCACATTCACATCAAATTCATATTTCTCATTTTCATCATTTTTATCTTCAACATACTCTAAGCTTGGGTTTCATCCTAAAACAACAAAAACGACCGAAAATGGTAATCAATCCCAATCCTAACAAAAATCTTATAAAAAGGTTGAGATGAGTGTAAATATTACACTTATCTTGGAAATATTTTACTTATCTTAGATCTTATTCTCTCTGATAATCTAACTATTAGATGACCAGTTGCTATGTTTGATGCTCGAGCAAGCAAAGTTTTGGGTTGGAACCTCTTCAGAATACTACCATATGCTTGTTTATTCGAAAGAACTTATTCCTCTGTAATGTGCATGGAGGATGTATTTGAAGGATACATATCATCTGAATGCTTAAATGCCTTTGGATGACTCAGGATGATTAAACAATTCGATAACTGAACATATTCTCCTATGGCCAAGTTGCATCATTATGTTAATATTGTTTAGTATGTCATATTGCAATCTTAAGGTTTTACCGATTGTTGATGGGATCCTAAGAAGTCCCTTCTCTGTTTTTGACTATATAACCTAAGCCTTTTATTTATAATAATTGTTTGATTAAAGAACTAGAAGAAGCTGAATCCCTTTCAGATTTTTTGGGCTATTGTTGGTTCTCATCATTCCACTTTTGATACATCTGTTTTTCATTAGACATATCATTTTGTTGGTTAGGTATCCATATCATTAGAAATATCTGTTCTTCAGTTGTGGTTTACTAGGTATCTGACTTAGTTTTTTATACTATTATTTTCGAAAGATATTTCTAATGATTCAACTACTGTGTTGATGTAGTCTATCATGGCAATCTGCTCCTCTGGAAAATGTTATCGAAGAGAAGTTATCAGCTAAGCAACCTGAAGCTTATGAATGGTTTTGGTCTGAGCCAATCCCAGTTGCAGTGACCAGCTTTGTTGACTATTTTGAAAAGGACCAGCGATTTACCGCTGCTACTGAAATGTGAGTAATTACCTCAATATTACGTGCAATGCACAAGCAAACATGTGTTTAGATCAATATACAAACATTTATTTTTAAGGTGTCACCGTTAGAATCACTGGCTTGTTTCTCGTTCAGATCCAGAAAAGGCCTGTCCTCAGTTTCCGGGGATTTAAGTGACATATCACTTCTCATGCTTGCACTTAGTTGCATTGCGGCAATTACCAAACTTGGCCCAGCAAAAGTTTCTTGTGCTCAATTTTTTTCCATTATTCCAGACCTAACGGGCAGATTGATGGACATGCTGGTTGAATTCGTTCCTATGCGCCAAGCTTACCATTCAATAAAGGAAATTGGCTTACACAAAGAATTTCTTGTCCATATTGGTCCTCGAGCTGCTACATGTAGAATTGATAATGATTTGGGCACTGAAGAGATTATGTTTTGGGTGGGTCTAATACAGAAACAACTACGGCTGGCTATAGATCGGGAGAAAATTTGGTCGAGACTCACTACATGTGAAAGTATTGAGGTTATCTCTGAAGTTTTTATAATTTGTATTACAGTTTTCCAGATCTTATTGATCTGAAAAGCACCAGGAATCCACTATAGAGTATAAACGCATGGGTGCGCACTCATATATATTTTTTGGTGCTAGAACTAGCATCACACCCAAAGTTTTTAACTATTTGTCCCTTGGAATATCTGTCTGCATATTATGGCATCCTTACATTTTTTACGATGAGACTGCTTACTCGATAGAGAAAATGTTTATTTGCTCATATCATTTAACATAGTTTAACCAAGAGGTGATTGGACAACTAGTGCTGTTCAAATTTAGTGTTTCCCCTGGCGATGAACTTTTTGTTTTCTCCATTCGTGCTCTGTTTGTATGGTGGCACAATCTAAATATTACCAAAATTTCTTGAAATTTGAAGAATATTTATTATGACTTCTGCCTCCTGTTGGAAGGATTTACCTTGGCATTCTGAACTTTGAAACGTGCTTTCAGGATTTCAGCATTTCGTGCACTTTAATATGATTTGAAGAATGGTTTTGATGGCATTAGCCTCATTCATACCTTTTTTTATAGGCTGATGACTACAGGGGTTGTGATACCACTTAAATCTTATTGTATAATTACTGCCTATGAATCAGAGAGCTTAGGTTTATGAGTTATTGCTTTCTACTTATGCAGAGTTGATGTCTTACTTCTTGCACTGTTTGAAAGTTTTTTCCGGTATCTTATAGGTTTTGGAGAAGGATTTGGCTATATTTGGGTTTTTCATTGCCTTAGGGAGAAGCACACAATTCTATCTATTTGTAAATGGTTTTGACACTGTTGATGAGCCACTTGAAGGATTTATACGGTATGGTTTCTAATGAAGGGGTTGTTTCCCATTTGCTCTTACTCATTGCTAAAGTCAATTTCTACACTCTATAATCTCCTCAATACAGGTACCTAATTGGGGGTAGTGTGCTGTATTATTCTCAGCTTTCATCTATAAGTGCTTATCAACTGTATGTGGAGGTTAGCATGAAAAGTGAAGTTGTATTAACTATTGAAAAATCTGCATGGTTGAAAAATTGACAAACCTGTGGCTTGACAGGTTGTGTGTGAAGAACTCGACTGGCTTCCTTTCTATCCAGGCTGCAGCAGTACCTCCAAGCGTTCTCCTGGGCACAAAAATAGAGAAGGTCCCCCCAATACCGATGCTATTCGCCTAGTATTGGATGTGTGCTCTTACTGGATCCAGAGTTTTATTAAGTACAGCAAATGGCTGGAGAATCCCTCTAATGTTAAGGCAGCTCGATTTCTTTCCAAAGGGTATTATACCTTTAAATTTTTGTAAGTCATTTATTCAGATTCCGTAATCTGTGCTCTGAAAAATGTGGTTCCTTTTTCATTTTTCAGGCATGACAAGTTAAAAATGTGCATGCAAGAACTGGGGATACAGAAGTAAGTTGAAGGAGGGAAACATATTCTCTACACTCCCTTCTTTGACGTCTATGTGTATGTATCAAATAGGACACCTATTTTTCTGTTTACAGAATATTGATAACATATGAAATTCTTGAAGCATTGTTGAATGTAAAATATACACCAAATATACACCACACATTAAAGTTAATCCTTGTTGTTTAGACTAACTTAGGTAGAAATTGGGTATAGAAAAAGTGGGTTTCAATATTATCCTTTGCTGAATTATCGTTTAACTCACAGTAAATATTAAAGATTAGCCTGGGGAAATGTGCATAAAGGAAAACCATGCTTGATGGACTCATAACAACTATTCAGTGAAGATAAATGCTTCAACATCATTATCCTGGTCAGGATAATTGTCATTTTGTCTTTACAATATTTATTAGGTTCTATTAAATAAAATATAGATCAAGAATTTCAGTACTTTTGATTTATATCAGAATGCTGCTTCCATTTAACTATTTATTTTTAATTTAGGATGTGAAGCTTTAGTTTGGAGATTTCTCTAATTTTGCCCATATATCGTACTTCTTCCACGTGTTTTTTATAACTTCAGTGTTTCCTTGAACGAAACTGAGAGAAGAAGTTTATTTTAATTTATTACACAATTCTTATTACAAGATTTTCATAAACGCTTCCGCACCAAAATTGGTATCAGAGCAAGGAAATTGCCTCAATCTGATGGTTGACTATGGTTCTGATGGCAGTCGAACCGTCGACGGATGGAGGCTCGACAAACTCGAATAACAAATCGAGGGGATCGACGAAACCCTTCACAACATCACGCAGATTTTAACTAAGTTGAGTTTTGAAAGGAATCGCGAGCCCGTAGAGAAGCAAGCTGACAAGAATTTGCAGACCTTAACTGTTATGAATGTTGGTTGTTTCAACAAACATAGAACACGACAACAAGTGGCTAGAGAATTTCCTCGAGTCTCAGCCAAGTTTGAAAATACAGAAGTTATTAAGGATTCTTTTCTTCAACAAACTCGAGGACGAGTTTTTTCAAGTGGGAGAGATTGATGTAGGACAATCCTATTATAAATAGGATTATGATTATATATTTATAATATAATGGGATGTCTAATTATAATAAATTTTATCTTTTTATTCTAATATTTTGTTTAGAATACGATTTTTTCTTTATTGATTAAAATATGATTTCTAATTAGATTAGGATTTTAATTTATTTCCTTTTAGAATATAGTTTCCTTACATTAATAAGATTAAGAAATAGTTTTGCCTATAAATACAAAGGTATTGTATATTTTTCAATAACAATCAATTATTATTCAATATATACAAGACATGATTGTTCAAATACCATTCTTATTTATTACATAATTCTTATTACAAAAAATTTTTAAACGCTTCCGCACCACTCTTTCCCCAACAATTCTTATATATACCATGTGACTTTATGTGCACGAAAATATTGTACCGAATTAAATGAGTCAATGCTTATATTCGTACGCATAAATTATTTGCTGACCATCAAGTTCCACCAGAAACATAGATGATAGATACATTTTGGTTCCATTGGAAACAAAGTCCAATCATCACTTTGTATTCATTTACCAGAGGTTACAAGTCTATGTCGATTAATTTTAAAAAATGGAAGAAATCTAATATCTAAATAAGCCTATGCAAAATAATTAGAAGATCGAAATGAGACGCTGAAACTCAATTTTGAGACATGAAAATGAGTCAATTTATTCATATGTTGTTTCAGCATTTCAGTCGAAAATGACTAAATGAGTAAATTTCAAATTTTGAAATCAACTTCTCATCCTCAAAGCTAATCCTAAAAAATAAGCAAAGTTACTTTTTCAAGAAGTAAATACTTATTTTAAAATAGTAACATTTTGTACTAGAATTCCAAAAAAAAGGAGCTTTTAAAGAAAAACTAAACATGTTTGGAAAGCATGTAACTTTTAAAACTTCAAACATGTTTGGCTAAGCTTAAAAGTTACTTTTTTGTAACTTTACTTTTACTTTAGGCTTAGCCACACATGCTAATAGCCTGGATCTCGTTAGTTTCACTTGAGACAATTTAGCTACTTTGTCATGGCTACTACACGAGCTTTTCAAGAAACAAAAAATGGATACTCCATAACAAAATTACCATGTCTGTTGCGATGTTCTTTCCAAAAACTAAAGCATCCCCTGAGGTAGGAGGAAGAAGGCCGGCGAGCATGGATATTGTTGTACTTTTACCAGCTCCATTATGTCCTTCAGAATATATTTTGAGGTCAATCACCAAGAAGAAAAAAAAATGGTACATGGCAATTGAATAAAAGAAGCAACTTTCTGTGTTTTGATAAATAGAGTGAAAATACAATTAGGCAAACACGAACACATAATGAAGGGTGCCAAATCACCATCTTAAGAATCTGTCTAGTGTGTGTGTGTGTGTGTGTGTGTGTAATTCGTAAACGGAATAAATTCCAGAAACAGGCTGGTCTCTAGGATAACAATAAACGATACTTAGCAATGAAAATGTGTCAATGGCTGTTTTTCATGTGCGAAGCATTTTCTTCAGCCTTCTAGCACATATACAACCATTCCTTGATGTAGTTCCCTATATGACTGAATTATCTTAACCCAACAAAATATGCAATGCTCTAAGTCCAGACAAAGAACCTTAGTCTCAAGGAGTACATTTGTTCCACACAGCTGACCAAGGAAATATTAGACCTATGGAGCATCATAATTCCACACAACTCTCATTATTTATTAAGGAGTTGTTTGATGGATATTATTGAGGAAAGAATGTATTGTAAATAGTGATATGATGGGAAATATGTGATTAAAAAGTAAGGAAAATTTATTGATGTAATGTAAAATAATATTTTATTGAAAAATGTGTGGTTGAAAATTAGTTTTAAAAAAATGTATTTTGAGATAATGTGTGTGATACAGGGAATAAATCAAACACAAAAGAGTAGTTTTTTATCGTTTCCTAATGAAAATATTTGTGATCTCGAAATGCATAAAACATTGAAATTTTTTAGACGGCTACTAGTTAATGCGATATGATCAATTAAAAGGAAACGATATCCCCTCTCTTGCGATAGAATCTTCAGCTTTTCCCCTAACTATTCCAACCATCATTAGTTTATTCAATTTCATATCATTGAAAATTAAATCTCGAATAGCACAATAGCAACCACTTTTCAATTTTAATGTTTCTACATGTTATATTTTCACTTGAACATCCTCAATAAGTCCACACTTAAACATCAGCTATTGAGATGCTTGGCAAAGTAAACTGTAGCCTGGCACGTCTATTAAAGCATCTAGAAACCAACTTTGATGTAAATTGCTAAAAGGCAAAAGATAGCAAAGGAATAAACAAACCAACAGCAGCCCAAAATATTTAGCCACTATTTGTCTACCATTAATCTAAAACATTATTTGCTACAGTTAAATTCTCCACCACATATTCACTCAATAAAATATTCTACACATAAACCAATAAAGTTACTTTAAATTTCAACCACACATTCTCAAAAAAATACTATTCATTACACTAATTTTCTCCCAATAATGAGAGACAAACAAGCTTTTACAGGGCATTTGGCAAGCAGAATAAAATTGGCAGAAGACTTTTCGCCATGGATGCTCCTCATGTGGTGCTTTTTAATGGTAGACAAACAGGCTCTTAACTTCATTTAAGATCGAAGAAGAATATAAATTGAAACACTAAAGAAGTAAGTTGTGGCTTACCTAGAAGAGCAAGAATTTGATTTTCATATAATGTCATATGTAAAGAATTAACAGCACAACAGTTTCCCTTCTTAGTGGTGTACACCTTGTGCAAATTCCTCAACTGAATACATCTGCAAAAGCAGATCATAAATTCATGAGTATGATGTTATCTGCATGTTCATACTCGCACAAACTCTGAGGCTTGGATTATAGAATATTTACCGGCCATCAAGTTCTTGTTGCTTCATTTCTAAGCTAGTCACTTCCACAGCTGGTTTGTATGCATCTTTTTCAAAAATACTACCATTTACCTCAGAATGACCACCAGCTACTTTAACTTCTGAGCTGGAAGCATACTGTTCACTGGTTCTCTTCTTCCTCCGAAAACACTTACAAAACATGAAGTTCCAAGTATTATCATTCTCCTTGTGTAGGACCTGATTTCATATAAAATGCTCAAACTCATCTTGAAGGTTAAGAAAATAAATATTGGTCTTGATGTCATAATATGGTATTACAGTTTTACTTTCACCAACCAAGTTGAGGAAACGGAAGATCTCATTTAAAGAACTGAAATAGAGCAATGGCACCAGGGCCTCCAGTTATGCATACATAGTACTTTCAGGACAAGAAGAACTAACACACAAGAAATTTAAAAGACATACCTTATCTAGAAAAAGACCAATTACACAGTACAAGAAAGTGTCAAGCAATATCATCAGGAGGCAGACCAAAAAGTTAACCCCAGAAGAATCCTGTCGTGACAGTAAAATTTCAACTTAATAAGATTGTAATTGACATATAGAAGAGAGTAAAGTTTATTAACAACACATACCAGCCAGATGTTGCTCCATCGAAGTCCAACATGAGCGCGCTCATAGTCAGCAAAATTAACTGACCCCAATGCAAAAGCTGTGGGTGAAAGAAAAGAGGCCATCACCTTTAGTACCCTACAAGTATACACAAAGAAATGTCTTATGCACCATCCTTGAGAAGTGTATAAATTGTTGTCATATGAGTAAGGTACTGACATAGAAACGGCCTGGTCACTGACGGTATAATAAGGGAAAAAGGCGCCGAGAAAAGAAAGTGTCCCGACTGTTACTGCTGTCTTCGCCCGTGTAAAGAATGTGGAGATCAAGAATGATAACATTATTGAGCTTAGTCCAAATGAGAAGAAGTAAATGAAGACTAGTGACTTGTCGCTGTACTTAAAAAGGGTTCCCATTGTGCAGAGAGTGATTATCCCAGATGAGATAGCAAACTGCC